ATCTTATTATTTGGTTTATTAGTTTATATATCTATACTTGGGAGACAAGTATAGTGTGTTCATTAAAAGCATGATTTCTGAAGTACCTAGATTCAAATCCCACCCTATCTGCTTAATAGTTTTGTGACTTACAGAAGTTTACATAACCTCTCTAAGCCTCAATTTCTTTATTCATAAAAGTTGTTGAAGGAAATTAGTGATATGGTATACATAAAGTGCTTAGCACTTAGCACTGTACTTCATGTGTTAGCCACTTAATAAATAGCAGTTACTTTTATCGTAACTGTATAGCTGGATTCCCCTATTTGGCATGGGAAACAGTCGTTTATCTCCCATTACATAACCAGATATTAGAGTAAAGTAATAGACTTGGCATATTTATTGGCAATTTTTTAAATTACAACCATCAGTCTAGCCAAAGGTGCAGTAAAATGAGCACACAAATATGCTCATGGAGATAAAAAATCTTATAATAAACTTTTTGGCAGAGCAATTTGGCAATATATACTGATAGCCATAAAAATGCTCTTTGAGTTTGTAATTCCCTGTCCAGAAATCTCTTCTGAAGTATCAGAGATTCAGACCAAGAGTTACAGCTGCTAGCATTCGATAATGGTGTGTGGGGTTTGGGGAACGGGAAAACTTAAATGTTCAACAATAGCAGGGAATGACTGAATAAAACAAGATATTTTCAAATAATTCGTACTCTGCAGCTATTAAGAAATATTTGATGATATGAGAAAGTGCTCACAATATACTATTAAGTTAAAAAAAGACATAAAAGTATTATGTAAAATACTCAAATTTTGTATGCAAAGAAATACATCCCTCTTCTCTCCCTTTTTCTCCTCCCCTAGAAACAAGAATGCAGAGGAACATACATCAAAATATCAACAGTGTTTATCTCTGGGTGGTTGGATTTCAATTTTTGGTTTTTGGTTTGTTGGGGGGTTTTTTGGATACACTTCAATGTTTTCCAAATTATACATAATAAACAAGTTACTTGGCACACCTTATATGAAAAACAGTGGTGGGAAGATTGGGTGCCTAGGTATCTGTTGTTTATCAGCAGTGACTTTATTGAAAAATGCTTTGAAAAACTGAAAGCTGTTTTCTTGGATCCTTCTTATCTCCCAAACTGAAGCAATTTAGTTGGTTTGGACCAAGAGGTGGTTAAAAATTGGATCACAAGAGAAGTTGTTGACACATTCTAGGTGTTCCTGAGTATATTGGTTTTAATGCAGCAAATAAATAAGAGCTCAAAGAAGGAGAGTTGATGTTTAATATGAATGAAAAGAAGCTTCTTGCAGAAATAAAATCAAAGTAAAGTTTAATTAGATTTGCAAAGAAGATTATTAAGAAAGGGGCTTGGTTTATTTAAATTTGATTTTTCCAAAATATTTGCGACAAAGGGAGACTGATATGCGTTTCTAGTGGAAGGTTCATAGAAGAATAAATATTTTGTGACTGTAGAAAAATACTTAAGAGCATTTTGCTCTTTGGGATAACATATTTTAAAGTAATTTTAAAATACCAGAATCATAAAAGAATTATAATTTTTTTTTTTAATTAGGATCCAGTTTATGGAAAAGGAAAACTTGGAGAAATCCAGGGACTTATTCTGGGCATGTTAGATACATTTAACTATGAACAAGTAAGTAAGCTACTTGCTGTATCTGAGACTGTCATAAGGCAGAAAAGCCATTGCTTTTCTTTTTTTGTTATTTTGCACCTATACTTTTTTAAAAAATTACTGTCTACTTAGTGGATGTTAGATAGAAAGAGATATGTGTGGTTTTTTTCTGTTTTTAAATTCCTCTTGACCTTAATTTATATACAACACACACACACACACACACACACACACACGCATGCACACACACACTCCAGTGTGGAAATGCATCTAATTCAGATTTATTTTATTTTTTGATTCATTCGCAGTGAGACAAGTATCTTTTTTTCAAAATGAAAGTATGAGAAACTTTCTGTAAAAATAATTGAATACAAAGCTGTAACCCATAAAAAGAAACGGTCAGCATGGATGTACAAAATTGCAAAATAAAATTAAATGAGTGTTCTTTTAAATGCTTTGTAACAGATGTTTGCCACTAATGCATAAATGGTCATCAGTCTTTCCTTAACTTAAATTTGCCTATAACTTTAATTCTCAGAGATTTGAGATTTTTTTATTAGTGCATTTCAAAGTGACTCATGAAGCCACCTAGGAAAAGTGCCATTTAGACACGTTAGATATAATGTCTGCTTTTTTAAGAGTCTGAGAGAAGAAAAAGAAACATCTGGGTGACTGAGCTTTTCCTAGAGTGTTGTAAGAATTGCAGTTTGGCTAGGCATGGCCCAGTGAAGCTTAATACTCCTGCAGGCACACATTCCAGGTTAGCAGAAGTAAAGCTGAGTGCAAGGCAGAAAATTTTTGCCAATTTTGGACCTATGGAAGAAGAGAAAAAGATGTATTGATTGGAAAAAATTAGAATAGACAATTAGTTTTGCATTACAGGCAAATTAAAGAGCTATGCTATAAAGAAAGGAAAGTGGGCAGTACCTAGCTCTGTCTTCCCCTTTGGGACTGACAGAAAAGAACCCAACTCCATATCCAAATGATATATATGAGTGTTGAGAATTAGTTGTAGTATGAAAGCAATACTTTATAAGCACAGAGAGCCTTAAAATGACTTAATGTGATATCTGTGAAAATGTTTTTATGTGGCTTAATGACAGATGTCACAGTCTCAAGTAGATTCAAATGACTTGTAAGTGCTGATCAGGAAAATGTGATCTCTCTGCCCAAGAAAGATGAAAACTGAATAATGGCCATTAGCTTTTCCAGTGAAAGGTTATTTGAAACATTGCCATAAATGCAATTTCAGTAAAAAATCAGGGATCCAGATTTGGCTGTGTTTTTTTTTGTTATAACACTCCGAGCTGTTCAAAAAGAGAAGTTATGGCCGGGTGCAGTGGCTCACGCCTGTAATCCTAGCACTCTGGGAGGCCGAGGCAGGCAGATCGTTTGAGCTCAGGAGTTCGAGACCAGCCTGAGCAAGAGCGAGACCCCGTCTCTACTAAAAAATAGAAAGAAATTATCTGGACAACTAAAGATATATAGAAAAATTAGCTGGGCGTGGTGGCGCATGCCTGTAGTCTTAGCCACTCGGGAGGCTGAGACAGGAGGATCGCTTGAGCCCAGGAGTTTGAGGTTGCTGTGAGCTAGCCTGACACCATGGTACTCTAGCCTGGGCAACAGAGCAAGACTCTGTCTCAAAGAAAAAAAAAAAAAAAGAAGTTATTATACAAATGCAATAAATAAATAGATTTAGCCTTATCTAGTCATTTGAAAGCCATCAATACTGAATTAAACCACAGAATGGGAGAACACACATTTCTCAGTAATAACTAGTAACAGACTTAAGAATCTTAATAATGTGTATACTCATAGTTATTCCGCACATTAATATTAACTGCTTGGGTTTGGGGATTTTAATGTTTGTTTCTTTCATCAACTTTATCCCTTTATAATGTGTTTCAGTTTCAGTTGTTTGTAGTTGAAAATTAAACAAGTGTTATTCCCCATGCATCTTCTCTATCTCTTTCATTTTGTAACCTTTTGGTTGTCTGTTTTTTGTTTTGGTCTTTCATAGACTCTGCTGGAAACAACCACCAGCCTTCTAAACCAAGATCTCCATTGGTCGTTGTGTAACCTTAGAGCTTCAGTCACTAGAGGACTGAATCCCAAACAGGATTACTGCTCTATATGTTTGCAGCAGTACAAGAGACGCCAAGAAATGGCAGATGAAATTATTGTGTTTAGGTAAGAGGGGAAAGGAAATGTTGCATATATGGTGTGTGTACATACATGGCATTACCAATCAGGAATACACGTGGATACACCGCCAGTCAGCCATTCTAGCAGTGAACACTACAGGCAAGTTCCTGCCCTGACAGACCTTACGATCTGCCTGGGAATGGAAAGAGGTGGAGGTTAGGGTACTCAGGAAGTAAATCAGTGCAGAGAAATAAGAGCTGTGAAGAAAAATAAATCATGGGGCAAAGGGATGGAAGGATGAAGTGTTCAGGATGAGAGTCTATTTAATCAGGGAAGACATCTCTGAGGAACTGACATTTTAGCAGAATGAGAGAGGTAGGAGTGAAGGTGCTGAGAGGTGTTTGGATTCCAAATATATTTTAAGGGAAGGGTTAACTTGCTGGGGTAATAGATATGGAGCATGAAGGAAAAATGAGGTCTTTAGCCTGAGCAGCTGGATGAACATGGTCTCATTGACTAAGATGAGGAGGAACAGGTATAAGGAGCTGGGAAAGTCAAGAGTTTTGTCTTGTACATGTTAAGTTTGAGATGGCTATTCGGCGTCTGAGCAGAGATGCCAGGTAGACAGATATTTTAGTCAGAAATCTGGAGACGTGTGGGCACCGGAAATATAAATCTCAAAATCATCAGCATATAACTGATGTTTAAGCCACAGTGCAAAGAGAGAAGCAGTCTTGTGCAGAAGCGAAGGGATTGGTCTCAGGAGCAAAGACAGCTCATCCAAAATATATGGATAGAGACAACATAATGTGGACTCGGAGCCAAACTTCTTGAGTTCAAATCTTGACTTTGCAACATGCCAGATGAGAGACTTTGGACAAGTTACTTAACCTCTTTATATCTTAGTTTCCTCCTCTGTAAATTGTGATAATAGTAGCTACCTCTAGGGTTTCATGAAGATTAAACAAGATAATTTACATAAGGCACTTGTAACAGTGCCTGTCATGAGTGAGCACTATGTAAGTGTTAGCTATGCAGGAAGATTGCTAGATTTGGTGGCGAGCAGTGGTGGGGGAGTAGTTCCCATCACATAAAGAACCCATTCATTCAACAAATATTTATTGAGCACCTGCTGTATGACAGCTACTGTTCAAAGGTGTATGATGTAGAATGAACAAAACAGGATCTGCCCTCTTGGAGTTTACATTCTAGTGACAGTGGCATACAGCAAACAAATAAGTGAAATACCATATAGTAGTAACTACTATGGGGGAAAAAAAAACCATGTTAAGGGAGAGAGTGTTGGGGCGTGGATATTTTATAGAGTGGTCAAGGAAAGACTCACTGTTACAGTGACTTATGAACAGACAATTTAAAATGAATCAATAAAAATACAATTAATAATTACATGAATAAAAGTAAAACATGGTATACAGGAAAGAGAATGTTGGGAGCTACTGATTTATAAAGAGTAGTCACAGAAAGCCTCACTGTTTAAGTGAGTTTGAGCAGAGGCCTAAAGGAAGTGGCTGTGCATATCAGAAGAGGGTGCCCCAGGAGGAGGGTCAGCAAGGGCTAAGACCAGGAAGCAGGAGCATTCTTGGCATGCCTGAGGAGCAGTGAGGGGGAAGGCTAGCGGTGTCTGAGCTGAATGAAGCAAGGAGAAGATAAGGAAAGAGGACTCCAGAGGAAGAACAGAGGCCGGCCATTCATGGAGGAACTGGGTCTTTATAAAGAGTTAGACTTTTTTTCTAAAATGAGAAGCCACTGGATGGTTTTGAGGATAGGGGTGACATTATCTGGCCTATGTGTTAAGGAGCACTCTAACTGCTGTGTAAGCCAGCTGCCCACTTAGGCTATTGCAGGAGCCATGTGAGAGAGGGTCCTGGGTAATAGTAATGAAGTAAGAAGCAGTAAGATTCTGGATATATTCTGAAGATAGAGCTGATAGGATTTGTTTATAGATTAGATTTGGGGTGCAATAGAGACTAGTCAAGGATGACTCCAGAGTTTTTGGCCTTAGAAACTACAAGACTGTAGTTGCCATTTATGGAGATGGGGAAGGTTGGATGAGAGCATGCAGTGGGGTGGAGTGGGATGGAAATCAGAAGTTTGGGTTTGGACATGTTAAATTTAAGGTGCCTACTAGATATCCAAAGTAGAGTTCTTGAAGAGAGAGAAAGAGATAGATAGGGTTTAGGGAGAGAGGTCTGGGCCAAATGTATAAATTGGGTAGTCATCAGGAGTAGGTTGTATTTTAAAGCTATGAAACCTGTAAGTAATCACCAAAGGAGTAAGGGTAGTTGTAAAAGAGTATAGAAGAGAAAGTTTATATATAGAAAGAGAAAGTCAGGAAGAAAAGACGATAGAAAAGAAAAGAATTGACTTCTGAGGTGATCGAATATTTCAGGTTGGAGAAATGAGGAGAAATCAGTAAAGATGACTGAGACTCATACTCAATACTCAACTTGTAGAAGGCTCATTTGGTAATTTAGTGTAATCAGTAGGGAATTTCTTCACAGGAATAATGTAAGGATTTACTATAGCAAAGACATTTTTGTAAATGTTTAATGAAATCACAACCCTTGCCTTGAATTTAATGAGGCAGCTCGATCATTATTATCAAGACATTTATGTAATTATGATTTTTCCCAATTCCTTTTTTCTCAAACTATCTAAAAAGACTGTCAGAATTTCATAGTTTGAGAAATGAACAGAAGTTCTTCTCATCCTCCAGGTGGTTTGTATCAGGGAACTGTGATTCTGTTCCTACTCACAACTTAAGTATACAAATATGTGAGTCTGGATTTTTAAAGAGAAGACAGCAACAAGTACATTTCCTTTCTTAGTCTTACCCTGTACAACCATCAGTGCATTCCAGCTTATCAGAAATCTTTATTGCTTATAAGTACACTCTTATCATAGCTTATGTTTATGGATTTTATGATAATGAAAAGTGCAAATTGATTGCCTTCGTTTTGCAGCTGTGGCCATTTGTATCACTCATTCTGTCTACAAAACAAAGAATGCACCACAGAAATTGAGGGCCAAACAAGATGGACATGCTACAAGTGCAGCTCAAGTAACAAAGTAGGAAAACTAAGTGAAAATTCATCTGAAATTAAAAAGGGAAGGATAACCCCGTCACAGGTAAGACTTGTTTTCATGGCAAGATGGAGATAGTCTTTTCTTACCAATATCTTTTATGCTTGCCCTCATTTTCTTCAGGTCCTATAGACCTCAACAAAGTTTTCTGATTGCTCCTGAGTACATGAAATCTTCTGTTCAGTCCTGTTTAGTGTTTGAAAAGTCTCTCCTCTCTGCTCAGCACTGAAAACCGTGGATTTGAGAGTAACAAGACATTTTCTGCTCTTTAGTTGAACAGATAGGATGTGCACACATGAGGCTGCTTTTAAGAACCTTTGACAGAGTAACAGGTCAGCAAGTACAAGTCAGTACTTGCAAGTACTTACCACTGTGAAGCAGGGCTGATGATGGACGAGGTACATACTTATATGTTCTGTGCCTGGTTTTCTCAACTAGGTCACTTTTTTCAAAGAATCTGATGGAACAGTGTTCCTTTGAGAAGTTTTTCATTGCCTTTGGAGTATGACTGATGGACTAGATAATAATTTTTATTTATTTTACAACCTTTTTTAAAGCAGAAATTGGAGCAGAGTTTGAACTCTACTGCTTAGTAACTTTTGGGAGAGCAAAACTTAACAACATGAGGGGTTCAATGTGGAGAAGAAGTTACCAGGGTTATGACCTGACCATTGTGCTGTGCTCAGCTATACTTCCTCTCTGAAGTGGTATCACATTTGCTACTTCCTCCTTCCTTTATGCCACCCTATCCTGTAATCAGCCCTCACATCACATAGTGAAAAAGTTGTACCTGTATTTTTCTCTTTTTGTTTCATCAGCTTTCAGTGTTGTAGCAGAAGCAGAGCCAGGGAAGTCCTCATGAGTAGCTTTGTTCCCAGATAACAGTTTAGAATTTCTGTACTCTAGTGGTATGTGTTCCATTTATGTATTCGCCCCATGTGTATTGAACAGTGCGCTAGGCACTGTGCTATTTGCTGGGGATATAATGGTAGATAAGACAAACATGGTCTTGTCTTGTGAAGTTTACAGTCAATGAAATTATAAACAGATTTTGAATAAGTACTCTCAAGTTTTTTCTGACTCCAAATATGTGATGTCTTTTCCGACACCAATTCTGTTAATTCTCTGGATACCAGTTAGGTGTCCAACAAGTCAATTCAATTCCGACACTGCCTGGAGTTAGAGACTCCATGGTTTGAGGGTTCAGTCCCACAAGACTGCCCTCAGTTCAGATGCCAGCCACATACGAGGTACCCAGGCTACCCACACTTCTGTCTGACTTTGCTACAAATTCAGAGGTCCCCATGACCTCCCTCAGATTTGATAATTGACTAGTATGATTCATAGAACTCATTTTTCACATTTTTTACATTTACCTATTTATTATGGGAGAACACATTTTATTATAGGAAAACACATTTTTTACATTTACCTATTTATTTATAAAGGATGCAACTGAGGAACAGCCAAATAAAGAGATGTGATAGCGGAAGGTTGGGTTGGGGTTGAGGAGTGGCAGAGATTCCATGCCCTCTCTGGGTCCACCACCTCCCCAGCACGTCAGTGTCTTCACCAACCCAGAAGCTCCTCGAACCCCACCATTTAGGAATTTTTATGGAGGTTTCATTATATAGTCATGATTGATTAAATCATTGGCCATTGGTGATTACACTCAATCTCTAGCCCTTTTCCCCTCACCACAGGTTGGAAGATGGTGTTGAAAGTTCCAAACCTCTAATCATGGCTTGGTCTTTCTGGTAACCAGCCTTCCTGAAGCTATCTGGGAGTCTTCAGCTGACAGTCATCTCATTAGCATACGAAAGGCACACTTAGCACTCAGGGGATTCCAAGGGTTTCAGGAGCTCTGTGCTGGGAACCTGTGACAAAGGCCAAATATGTATCTTTTATTATACCTCAACTGCTTACAGATGAACTTTACTGTAAGAACAGATAATGAGTAGATCTAAACTAGACATGAAGAATCATGGAATGCTTCCTAGAAGGGCCGTGTTAGCTGCCCCTGAAGGAAAAAGAGGAGTAAGCTAGACAAGTTTAGATGCAGGGATAGGCAGGAGGAGAATTATTGCAGGCAGAGGGAACAGCATGTAGAATAAACATAGAACTAGAAGTTATATGATTGAATCTAGAGGGTGAAAGAGAGTGGGAAAAGACCACACTGTCTTTCACCCTTTAGATAGTTATGCTCAACTTCTAGTTCCATGCTCTTTTCTGCTTCACAGCAGAGATGCTATGTTTGAGAAGTAGGATTATCATGACCTGATGATAAATTCACTGGATGGAAGAGGTAAGACAGAGGGAGGAGTCTAAGGCAGCATCCAGATTTCTTAATTGAAAACTGAATAAATGGGGGTACTATTTATTAAGATAACAACAAACAACAGATTTGGGAGTAAGATAAGGAGTTCATTGTCAGAGTTAGAGATATCTGCAGAACATACAGATAAAGATGTTCA